TTCCTGGTCCTTCTCCTTACTCTGGACCGACTAGAGGTCTTACGGAGCGTCGTGCGCCTGAGTCTCGTCCTGCGTCGCCTGAGTCTCGGCCTGAGTCGCCTGTCCGCACTGGTCGTGTCCCGCGTCAGCGTCCTCCTCCTGTCCCTGGCACTCACTATATGACTCTGCGTCCTTCCACTGCTCTACAGCGTGTCCCTCTGTCGTCTCCTCCTGCGTCCTCTCTTCCTGACGGTCTGGACCCGGAGTCTGACTCCCTTCGTGCTGCTAGTCCTACTGTCACGCGTTTCCTCGCCACTGTTGTCACTGACCCTTCGTTTGAGTCCACTGCTGCGTCTGCTCTAGTTGCTGAGCTTGTTGACTTTGCTGCCGCCTGTCGTCTAGACTACGCCGCTAGTCTTGTTGCTGAGTCTGAGTCTGTCTGTCCTCCGTCCGTCAAGGGTGAGTGTGCTCTTGGCACGGACGTCCTTGAGGACAGACAGGAGGAGTTTGAGTGCTTTGCCGCTGCTTTACCTCATCTCGTGTCCATGCTGATTGCCCCTGAGGGAGACCTGGATGCACCAGACATCCCGACCCCGCGCTCTTACGCAGAGGCGATAGAGGGTCCCTACTCCTCTCAGTGGCAGACAGCCATAGACGCAGAGATGGCTTCCTCAGGCACCTACGTCGACGAGGTTCCCCCACCTGGGGCGAACATCGTCAGTGGCATGTGGATTTTCAGGGTGAAGCGGCCGCCGGGTTCTCCGCCTGTCTTCAAGGCGCGTTACGTTGCACGTGGCTTCAGTCAGCGAGAGGGAGTTGACTTCTTCCAGACCTTCTCCCCGACCCCGAAGATGACCACTCTTCGGGTCCTGCTGCACGTCGCCGCTCAGCGTGACTACGAGCTTCACTCTCTTGACTTCAGCACTGCTTTCCTACAGGGCAGCCTGCACGAGGAGATCTGGCTGCGCCGCCCACCAGGCTTCACTGGGTCGTTTCCTGCTGGTACCCAGTGGAGCCTCCGGCGGCCAGTCTACGGTCTCCGCCAGGCACCCCATGAGTGGCACGACACACTGAGGACGACTCTTGCTGCTCTTGGGTTTGCTCCTTCTACTGCTGACCCGTCGCTGTTTCTACGCACCGACACCACTCTGCCGCCGTTCTACGTTCTCGTGTACGTAGACGACTTGGTCTTTGCTACTTCTGACACTGAGGGACTCGCCCACGTGAAGTCGGAGCTGCAGAAGAGACACACGTGCACAGACCTGGCTGAGCTGACAAGCTATCTTGGCTTGCGGATCACCCGGGACAGAGCACAGCACACCATTACCCTGACTCAGTCACACATGGTGCAGCAGGTCCTTCAGCGCTTCGGCTTCACGTACTCCTCGCCTCAGTCCACTCCTCTGCCTACCGGTCACTCGCTCTCAGCTCCACCTTCGGACGAGTCCGTAGAGCCGAGTGGCCCGTATCCAGAGCTTGTGGGCTGCCTCATGTACCTGATGACCTGCACTCGACCTGACCTTGCATACCCTCTTAGCATCCTAGCACGCTATGTCGATCCTGGCCGTCACCGGAAGGAGCACATGGATGCCGCTAAGAGGGTGTTGCGCTACTTGTGCAGTACGTCGGGCATAGGGCTCGTGCTTGGAGGACGGGCTCGAGTTGTCCTCACTGGTCACGCAGACGCTTCTTGGGCTGACGACTTGGCTACGCAGCGGTCGTCACAGGGTTACACCTTCAGCCTTGGCTCCGGCTCTGTTTCTTGGCGGTCTACCCGCTCTTCTTCTGTTCTCAGCTCCAGCTGTGAGGCTGAGATCTACGCAGGGACCATGGCTGCACAGGAGTTACGCTGGCTCACCTACCTGCTGACTGACCTGGGAGAGCTGCCTCGCTCTCCTCCAGTGCTGTACGTCGACAACAAGGCCATGATTGCCTTGTGTCAAGAGCACAGACTGGAGCACAGAACGAAGCACATCGCTCAGCGCTACTTCCTTGCTCGAGAGTTGCAGCAGCGTGGTCAGCTTCGTCTTGCTTACGTGGCCACGCAGGCCAACGTTGCTGATGTCTTCACCAAGGCACTTCAGCCTTGTGATCATCAGCGTTTCTGTACTGTTCTAGGCCTTGTGCCTACTGTGCCTCACTTGCTTACTTCTTGACTCTGCTTGTACTGTGATCTCTATACATATACCTGCATGCTTACACTTGCTAGGTTGTGATCACTGTATTGCTTGTTCTCCTTTATATAACTCTGCATGTGAACTGGCCTTGTGGCCATTTGCTTGTGCTCGGAATGCGTGGTGACGTCGTGATCCACCCTGAGCTTGCTTTGCCTCTCTTGACCGGTCTTGTGACCTCTTGTTCTTCCCCACTTTGCCTATGGGGGTGTGTCAAACATATATGCTATAGTCTGTGTAGGCTGTAGTGGGGTAGCTCATATAGGGTACAACATTTCTAGGTTTCCTACTTGTACCCAAACTGCTTGCTAGTCAATCATTCCTTCGTTCCTATTCTGACACAGGTACGGCAGCATGAGGCGGCTAAGGGCAGCAGTGGCAGGGGAGGAGTAGCGCGCAACAACAGCAGCGTACAGAGTGCTAGCAGTCTTGTACTGGCTAAAGTGCGCGCGCTCAGCAGACAGCAGGTGACTACGGACAGCAAGACGGGCAGCAACATCGCGCGTGGTCCACTGTGAGCGAACAGTACTGGCAGCATCAGCAGCAGGTGCAGCAGAGGCGCCAGACGTGAGGTCAAAAAGTGAGACTCCATCCTTGCTATCGCACTGCAGAAACAGCTGCAGATCGTCGACCCAGACCTCAAAATCGACCGCTCGACCCTCAGCATCGAAGGTGAGTACGTTAGGGCTAGCCATGACAGAAGTAGCAGTAGCAGTAGCAGCAGCAGGAGCAGCGCGACTCGGCAGGGCGGCGCGGCTCGGCTAGGCAGCACGGCTCGGCAGGGCGGCGCTTACCAGGGCGGATCAGGGTAGGGCTGCACCTGGCAGGGCAGGGCCGTGGCGCGCCGGCAGGGCAGGGCCGCTTCGGGGCGGCAGTGCAGGGTGGCGACTCGGCTGCAGGGCAGAGGCCGCGACACGCGGGGCCGCAACGAGGCGGCAGGGCAGGGCCGCGACTCGGCTGCAGGGCAGGGCCGCTTCAGGCAGGGCCGTGAGGAGGCGGCAGTGGAGGTTCCGGGACGAGACGGCAGGGCCGGGCCGCGACTGGGCGGCTGCAGGGCGGGGCCGCGTCACGGCTGCTGCAGGGTAGGGCGGCACCGAGGCCGCGGTAAGGCAGGGCCGCGGCAAAGCAGGGCCGCGGCAGGGTAGGGCCGCGCGGGCGGCGAAAGCAGGTCGCAGCAGGCGGGTGGGGCAGGGCCGCGACTACAGCTCGGGCGGGCCGCTAAGGGCGGCGACGACAACGCGGGCGGGCCGCTAGGGGCGGCTACGACGCGGGCGGGCCGCTAAGGGCGGCGACGACGGGTGCGGGCCGCGAAGGGCAGGGCCGCTAAGGGCGGGCCGTTAAAGGGCGCGACGAGCCGCTAAGGGCAGGGCCGCTAAGGGCAGAGCGCGCGACGGGAGGGCAGGCGCACGGGGCGCAGATAAGGCAAGCGCGAAACGCGCTTCGGGCAGGTAAGAAAAAATTCGCAGTGGTGGGCCCTTAAAAAAAAACCGATCCCACTAGGGAACCCGCTCGATACCATGTGAGAATAATACAAGGAATGATTGAACTAGAAAGGAGATGGGTACATATAGGGAAACCTAGAAATGTTGTACCCCCTATTGTCTAACCCACTACAGCCTAAACAGGCTATAACATATGTTTGACAAAAGTAGTTGTAAAACTGAAGTTTGGAACTTCGTCATGGTGTACTCGCACCAGCCGTACGTACCCTGCACATTTCGCCCTCGAATCAGCAAGCGCCTAAGGGTGTGCTGTGACAATACACCCAAAAGCCACCCCCAGGAATGTACACCCTTGCTTTAACTCCTTGGGCAATTGGATTGAAACGCCACTTGAAAATAACTATCTTCAAATTGCACTTGTAACAGTTGCCCCTGCTGACTCAAATCTGTGCACTCATGAGACTTGCATATGACTCCAATGTAGCTCTCATGAGTTCATGCGAGCTCACAGTTATAAAACGGTTTTTACCGTTGAGAAAACGGGATAACCATTTTGTACCTGCGTCGAAATCATTCCGCAAAGCGGTGCTACTTTCGTGCGCAATTTCTTGTTCCGTGAGTCTGTAAATTCCGCAGCACCCTTCGGAATCCCGCACCACCCACTCGAAACACACGCGCACCCCTCAGGTGCGCAATCATGCACGAACAGATAAACTGGTCGTGCTGTACTGCGCGTGGGCAGGGCGATCATTCGCCCTGTCCTGTTGCGATCATGGGCCCTGCCACGCTCGCAACAGTGCGCGAGCACACGCTTAGGCCCTCAGGGCCCACACGCGAAATCAAGACCACACGCCGGTCAAGATTTCGCGTGCTTGACCAGCGCGAAAGTCAACAGCAACCCCCTTGACCAGTCAAAGTATCGAGCCCCACGGTACACCACCCGCTCGCATGAGGCACGCATGACACATAAAAAGCAAATGAGACTTTCATGGGAAGCTCATTTGAGGCTCATTGGAGCTTCATGAGAGTTTTCATTTGAGCTTTCATGACAGCTTCATTTGAGCGCGTCATGGGAGCCTCATTTGAGCGCTTCATGAGAGCTTCATTTGAGCGCATCATGTGAGCCTCATTTGAGCGCTTCATGAGAACAGTGAACACGAAACTGAAAATGCACAAACACAAAATGCAATTACAAATGAAAACGAAACACACAAAATGCAAGGTCGAATGCGCACAGAACACACACAAAATGCGCACACACAAAATGCAAAATGAAATGACATTTCTCACGCCACAAATTACCTTCAAACAAAACTCCCCATTTTCTTTTGCCGTCGGCGAATAGGCGGTAGGTTGCCGTGCAAACCAAGTATTGCACTCAACAAACACCCCCTCAACCTGCCGACTATTCCAATCCACCCCCGTCATCAGTGTGCTTTACAACCCGCTTCACGGCTTCAGTCATTGACATAGGAGGGTTGACATCCTTGCTCAACTGCTCCTCCTTCTTGAATAACTCTTTCCTTTCACCTTTCAGCAATGCCGCTGCATAGCTAATCCCAACTCCAGTTTTGAGGAAAGCACTCGTCTGCTCCCCCACAATCTCAGCTTCCTTTAGACTCAGCTTCACCTTGGGTTCACCAATCTCCTTAGCCTTATCAGCTGCATAACCTCCCACATTCAGCACCAAATATTTCTCCTTCTTAGCAGCACCCTTTAGCTGCACCATGGCCTTTTGTTTCTGCTCCTCACTAGTGTCACTCCTGGGAACTACTTTCTCCTTGTCTTCAGCAGCATCCTCAACTATGCTCCCCTTGACATCTGCACCGTTTTTCTCATCAGCACCGAACACATTTCTCTTTTCAGCTGCTGCAAGTCGACCGTTGACCTGCTGCAACTGCTGCACCAATATCTCCACTGTCACCTTGAGCTCCTTAATCGTTTTAGCCACTATAGCACACTCCCCATTGCAGCTACAGACCACATTTTGCTTCACAAGTACCACCTCCTTCCATGGCACCACTGGCACATGCCAAAGCTCGTCATGCACGTCCTTGTTCTCGTTCAAGTCCCAAAGCACTCGATTACCAAGCTTTCCCGTGAAAGTCTCAGCTCCATTGGTTGCCTTGCATACACCTGCAATACCCATTTGCCTCAGGGAAATCAAGTTTCCCTTTAGCTCCGGCACCAAGAGCACATCCTCCAACAAGACCGGCTTCCTGTCAGCTCCCTTGAAGGCTGCCTTGCCGATTCCCACCACTTTCATTTTGTAACCGCATCCTGAGTTCATCTCAATGATGCTCGTTTTGTCAATCTCATTCAGCAGGTCCGCCCTCGGGGTCATGTGGTGTGCTGCTCCAGAGTCTAGCATCCATGTGTTGAGAGGAGGTGGATCTGCTCCCGTCTTTGCAGATGCCTTCTCGCTCCCCCCATTCCCTTGCACGTGGAAAAACAGCCCTGGAGCACGCTCCCAACTGTCTTCTCGCTCATGTGCGGTCTCTGCTACATAACCAACACCATGCTGTTGGTTTTCATCTTCATTATCACCCTCACATTCGGGGGTCCACCACTTGGGCCGCTTCCAACATTTCGCCCATGTGTGGCCCCGCTTCTTGCAATACCAGCAGCTACCATTGAACCCGCGATAGCCGCCACGGTCATCTTCTTCCTCATCACACCTGTTTACAAATCGTCAGCTCCCGCCTTGTCCGCTTCCATTCTGACCGCGTTCACCACGTCCTCGCCCACTTTCCTTATGCCGTGTGCTGCCCTGTACTCCATACCCGACATCACCATCATGGTTGTGACTCAGCTGCCTCCTCCTAAACTCCTCCTCTAAGATCTTAGTTCGAACCCACTCAAGGGTCCAAAGGCTCTGGTTTTGAGGAAGGCTCAAACCGCTCGTGAAGACCATCCACGACTCCGGCAGCAATGACAACATCTTGAGACACTTCGTTTGCTCCGGGTAGGTGATGCCACCAATTTGCAGTTTGGCATACAACTCTCTCATCTTGTCAAGCACCGGCTGAATCGGCTCCCCTTCACTCATCCGCAATGACGCCAACTCCCGCTCCAGCATGAGTGTTGCAACCACCGAGGTTGGCGCGTGCAACTCCTTGAGCACTTTCCAAGCTTGAGGCCCGGAATCATCTTCTTCTAGCAAATGCATCACATGCGATCGCTGGTTCAGCTCCAAGCTCTGGGATAGGAGATAGTAGCCAGCGGTCGAACGCTCGTCCCACTCCTCTTGCAGGGCGGGGTTGTCAAAACTATGCATATATGCTCTAGGCTGTAGTGGGGCACTCCTTATGGGGTACAGCCCAAATTAGGTTTTGCCTATACAAACCTTGTACTGCTCTCTTTCTAGTCATTCTTTCCTTCACATTTCTGACATGGTATCAGAGCAGGTTCCCTAGTGGGAACGTTTTTTTTTAGGGCCCACCACGATTATTTTTTTTTCCTGCCCTGCCCGAAGCGCGCCTCGCGCCTGCCTCACCTGCGCCGTCTCGCGCCCTGCCCTAGTGCCGCCCGTCGCGGCCCTGCCTTCTCGGCCCGTCGCGGCCCTGCCCTAACGGCCCGTCGCGGCCCTGACCTAGCCGGCCCTGCCCTGTCGCCGCCTCGTCGCGGCCCTGACCTCACCGCCTCGTCGCGGCCCTGCCCTGCCGCCACCCGCGGCCCTACCTTGCCGCCCGTCGCGGCCTGACCTAGCCGCCCGTCGCGGCCCTACCCTGCCGCCCCTCGTCGCAGCCCTGACCTCGCCGCCCGTCGCGGCCTCTGCCCTGCCGCCACCCGTCGCGGCCCTGCCCTCAGCCGCTCGTCGCGACCCTGCTCTACCGCCGCCCAGTCGCGGCCCTGCCCTGCTGCTGCCCTGTCGCGGCCCTGCTCTGCCGCCTCCTCGTCGCGGCCCTGCCCTACAGCCGCCCCAGTCGCGGCCCTGACCTAACCGCCAGCTGCGGCCCTGCCCTGCACCCGCCCCTGGTAAGCACCCGCGCCGCCCAGCCGAGCCGCGCCGCCCAGCCGAGCCGCGCCGCCCAGCCGAGCCGCGCCGCCCTACCGAGCCGCGCCGCCCTACTGAGCCGCACTTCCCTGCCCGCACTGCTCCTGCTGCTACTGCTGCTTCTGCTGCTACTGCTGCTACTGCTGCTACTGCCGCCATGGCTAGCCCTAATGTTCTTACCTTTGATGTTGAGGGTCGTGCGGTTGACTTCGACGTTTGGGTAGACGACCTACAGCTCTTTCTTCAGTGCGACTCTAAGGACGGAGTCTCCCTTTTCGATCACACGTCCGGTGTCTCTCCTGCACCTACTGCACTGCTGACAGTACAGTTTGCTCGCAGTGGACTACTCGTGACGCTGTTGCTCGCCTTGCTGTTCGTAGTCACCTGCCATCTGCTGAGCGCGCGCACTTTGGCCAGTACAAGACTGCTAAGTCTTTGTATGACGCTGTCGTAGCGCGCTACTCCTCCCCTGCCACTGCTGCCCTCAGCCACCTCATGCTGCCGTACCTGTTCCCTGACCTGGCTGCCTTTGCCACAGTCGCTGACCTCATTACTCACCTCCGCACTAGTGACGCCCGCTACCGCGCTGCGCTTCCCACTGAGTTCTGTGCCAAGAACCCCCTCCCCCCCATGTACATCACCCTCTACTACCTAGTCACCCGTCTCCCTGACTCCCTTTCTTCAGTCAGGGACCACTTTCTCTCCCTTTGCCCCACCGAGCTCACCGTCGACCTGCTAGAGGAGCGCCTCACTACAGCTGAGAAGAGTATCGTTGCTGTAGGTGCTTCTCGCGGCGACCCTCGCGCCCCTTTCTTTGAGGGGTGTTCCCCCGTCCCCCTTCTCCCCTCTGTTGCTTCTGCTGCTGCTGTCGACCTCGTTGGCACTGAGGAGGTCGGGGCTGCGTCTGCCCCTAGTGGGAGGCGCCGCTACGGCAAGGGCAAGGGGGGCAAGGGTGGTGGAGGGGACGGTGGGGGCGGCGGTGGAGGCGGTGGAGGAGGCGGAGGGGGTGGCGGTGGAGGTGGGGGTGGTGGCGGGAGTGGGGGCGTCGGTGGCGGCGGTGGGGGTGGTGGAGGCAGCGGCAGCGGCGGTGGAGGCTACGGCAGCAGCGGTGGAGGTGGCGGCGGCGGTGGTGCTGGTCGAGGTGGAGCCGCGCAGCGTGGAGGCTTTGGCGGTAGCCAGCGCCAGCAGCAGCCGCGTTCCCGTGAGACCCCGTCGCCCCAGCAGCTTCGTGAGTGGTACGCTGGGCGTGGGAGGTCTGGGGGTGCTGGTCCCTGTACTTACGTTCTTCGCACCGGCGGGCGCCGTGGGGAGACGTACGGACTGCCCCACACTTCGCAGCGCTGCTTCGGTCGCATGACTGACGCCTGGCGCGCCCAGTTTCCTGACGGCGCTGAGCTCCCTCGCTGGGGTGATCTGCTTAAGCAGAATGTTGCTATCTTTGATCTAGATTTCAATGCTATCCTTGCTGCCATGTATGCTGTGACTGATAGTGCTGAGGGTGACTGTTACCTGTGTGTTCCGCCCGACCCGGACATTGAGGCTGCTGCTCTAGGTGCTAGTGAGTCTGCTGCTCCAGGTGCTGGTGAGTCTGCTCTCTCTGGTACTGCACCTACTGAGGCCTTGCGCACCTTCACACTTGACTCAGGTGCTTCGCGCTCCTTCTTTCGCGACAGCACCACACTCACGCCGCTCAGTCGGCCGGTTGCAGTCTCCCTGGCTGACCCCTCTGGGGGCCCAGTCCTTGCGCACTCCTCCACGATTCTACCGTGTCCTGCGGCACCGTCGGGCTTACTGTCGGGACTCCACCTCCCCTCGTTCTCTACGAACTTGGTGAGTGGAGCTGACCTCCAGGACGTGTGGGTTGACCAGTTCACCCCTGGAGGTCAGCGTGTGACCCACTGCACTTGCTCTTGTACGGGCCGCCACCTGGCCACGTTCACCCGTCGGCCTGGGTCGAGCCTGTACACACTGACTACTGCGTCTCCTCCCGTTACTGCGTCTGGTTAGGTAGCCGCGTCTGGTCAGGTGTTTGCTGCCGCGTCCAGGTCTAGTCCGGAGTCTGCCCCCTGCTCGTGTCGTCCTCTGTCACACGAGACTCTCCTTTGGCACCACCGCCTTGGTCACCCCTCCCTGCCTCGTCTTCGAGGTATGGCCTCCCATACCCTTGTCTCTGGTCTCCCCCGGTCCCTCCCTCCCCTTCCTCCGGGGCCTGCCCCTACCTGTGTTCCTTGCGTCGAGGGCCGGCAGCGCGCCGCTCCTCACTCCTCCGAGTTCCCTCCGACAGAGGCTGCCCTGCATACTCTCCACATGGACGTGTGGGGCCCAGCCCGCGTCCGTGGACAGGGTCACGAGCGTTACTTCCTGCTGGTCGTTGATGACTACTCGCGTTACACCACAGTCTTCCCCTTGCGGCGCAAGGGTGAGGTCACTGAGGTGTTGATCGACTGGATACGCGCTGCCCGTCGCCAGCTCAGCGAGAGTTTCGGCTCGGACCTTCCTGTTCTGCGTCTGCACTCAGACAGAGGTGGTGAGTTTTCCTCCGATCTTCTGAGGGCTTTCTGTCGTGCGGAGGGCATCCGCCAGACGTTCACGCTTCCGGCCTCCCCACAGCAAAATGGGATTGCTGAGCGCCGCATTGGCATGGTCATGGACGTCGCTCGTACGTCCATGATCCATGCGGCTGCTCCCCATTTTCTGTGGCCGTTCGCGGTTCAGTACGCTACGCATCAGCTCAACCTTCAGCCTCGTGTCTCCTTGCCGGAGACCACACCTACTCTGCGGTGGACGGGGAAGGTTGGCGATGCGTCTGTGTTCCGTGTCTGGGGATCTCGAGCTTTTGTCCGCGATTCTTCCGCGGACAAGCTGTCCTCCCGTGCTGTTCCCTACGTCTTCCTTGGCTTCCCCCCTGACGCGCCTGGGTGGCAGTTTTACCACCCCACCTCGCGTCGTGTTCTGTCCTCTCAGGACGTCACGTTTGACGAGTCGGTATCTTACTACCGTCTCTTTCCCTACCGCACTGCCCCTCTCCCCCCCCCGACGCTCTTCCTAGCACCAGGTGCTCCTCCGGTAGACCCCCTCCCCCCTCAGGGTCCTGCCTCCTCAGGTGTGTCCCAGGTAGACCCTGTCGAGCCTGTCGAGGTAGCTGTCGAGTCTGGTGCTGCTAGGGGTGCTGAGCCTGCGGGTGCGGGGCCTGGGGGTGCTGAGCCTGGGGTTGCTGAGTCTGAGGGTGCGGAGCCTGGGGGTGCTGAGCCTGAGGGTGTGGAGCCTGGGGGTGCTGAGCCTGGGGGTGCTGAGTCTGGGGGTGCTGAGCCTGGGGGTGCTGAGCCTGGGGGTGCTGAGCCTGAGCGTGCTGAGTCTGGAGGTCCTCCGGGTGTCTTGTCACGGCGGGAGTCCCTCTCTCCGCAGCAGCTGCGCGAGTGGTACGCTCGGCGCTGTAGCCGTGCTGCCGCAGCTCGGGGGCCTACTGCTGGAGGTGCTGGAGCCGCTAGTCTCGGAGGTGCTCGTACTGGAGGTACTGGAGCTGCTGGGGTTGGAGCTGCTGGAGGTACTGCTGGTGCTGGAGCTGCTGGAGGTGCTGGAGCCGCTGGTCCCGGAGGTGCTTGTACTGGAGGTACTGGAGCTGCTGGAGTTGGAGCTGCTGGAGGTGCTGGATCCGCTGGTCCCG